AGTGGAAAGATCGATACCTTAAGTTCAAGATTTACAGTGAACTGCTTAACATTTCTTATAAATGTGTTGTGAACAGAGTAACCTTTCCTTAAAAAGGGTAGCAAGCTTCTTTGTTGTGCTAGCTGTGAAAATATGTTGCAATTATTTCAGCTGTGTTTCCCATGGTGGGTCTTGACTTCCATCTCTGTGTTTTACTGTCATAGAAGGAAAGCATCAGCAAAGTGGAATTATTGAAAGAATAAGAACATTTTACCACTCCTTAATTCCTTTTAGGTATCCAAGCAAATCTAAAAAGAAGCAAAACTTTTCATCTTTATTCCTTTCTCCTACCATCACCGGAGTCTAGTTAAAGCTAAACTCTGGGAGAATTGAAAACTATCTTTGTATTGGGACTTCCTCTGCTCTGCAAGGGTTAAAGGAGAAGTGTGGAAATCAAAAAACAAAACACACATACTCAGTTCTATGGCTGCAGCATCAGTGTGATGGGGCAGTTGTCCCCCGCTGGCTCTAAGACCGAGAACTGAGCATTAACCTCTCCACTGATCATTCAGTTGTTGGTCCACTTTGAACAGAGAGTAGTGACCATTAGTCGCAGCTCTCTGCTCTGACCCTCCAACTGGGCTGTGGAGGGGATGGAAATGGTTGGCTCAGGCTCTCATGGTTGTTGGGATCCTTCTGGAATCTGGAGTGGCTGTGTGGTGTCTAAAGAGCTCTGTTGGCTGATTCTGGATCACAGGAGTGCATATAAAGTCCACTCCTTTGACCCAGAATAGAAGTATGGCCAAGAAGCTTTGGCCATACTTTTCTTTTAAATGCTTGATTTTGTTTGAAAAGGGCCCCAAAAGCAGAACTCCAGTGACATTTTTTAAAACAACCCTCATAAGGATGCTCCCCCTGCACGGCAGGACGTAAATGTTCTGCAGGCTTCCTCTACTCCTTGTGACCAGTCCTCCGAAGCCTCTTCTCTATGGTGCTTCATCGGTCACTATCACTCTGATGGAATCATGTACAATGCAGGAACTGCAGTCCCGCTTTGTAATTTAAGATTCTTTGGGCCCACCCACAACCTGGAGTATCAGAGGGGAGAAAAAAGCACCAGCTGCTGGAGGATTGAGGGATAAGGTTAATAAGACCGCTTTTTACACTAGACAAAAACAAGCATTTTTGTGAAGGGAGCCATACTCAAGGATTGTTTTTTCAGTTCCCCATAGTCCAGCTTTAAGGGTCTGTGTTGATGGGTTCGTGTTCCCATCAGATAGGTTTTGAATTCCCATACAAGTCTACAAAATGCAAAACCCACCTGAAGTAGGTCAAAAGGCAATCAGTAGGATATAGCAATTTTACAACAAAACCTCAATAAAATAGAGGGATGCATAACTAAATGGCAAATGAGGTTCAATGTAGGAAAATGTAAAGTAATGTACTCGGGGGCTAACAATACTAATGCAAGTTTCATACTAGGGGGAGAATCTCTGTGGGAATCAAGGATGGAAATGGATCTGGGGGTGCTAGTAGTTAACAGACTCAGTATTAGCAATTAATGCCAGGCTGCAGCAAGCAAAGCAAACAGGGTATTTACTCAAGAGAGAAAACTATTATTCTACCACTTTACAAAACTCTGGCTTGGCCATATCTGGAGTATGCCATCCAGTTCCTGTCATCAGTCCGAGGAAGGATGTGTTGGAACTGGAGAGAGTCTAGAAAAGGGCAACAAAGCTAATAAGTGGACTGGAGGATTTCAGTTATGAGGACAGTCTACACACATTAAAGGCTAAGTTCCCCCTTTATAAAAAATTAGTTGCACATTTTTTTCCAGGTAAATAATGTGCATTTATTATTTGTTTTACTCTGCAACCTGTAAGGTGGGGTTCTCCAAACTTTCTAAACAAAGGGCCAGTTTGCTGTCCTTTAAACTTTAGGGAGGCCAGAAATTGGTGTGAGTGGGAGATATAGTACCCTCTCATTGGTGTCAGTAGGAAGAATAGTGCCTCATTATTGGTGTCAGTGGAAGGAATACTTCCCCATCATTGTGCCAGTGGTAGAAATAATGCACAATTGTTGGTGTCAGGTAAAAAAATGTGCATTTATTATTTTTTTTACCAGGAACCTAGAAAGCATTGTACCCACAATAAGCAGATTACGGGTGGCATGCAGGACCTGTCTGTATATCTGTGTGCTCGTACCTCATATGAGCAGGCACATATAGACAGAGAGGAAGAGAAAATGAACTACCACAGCACCATGGTATTTCATTGTGAACTACAAGCCAGTAGCCACTAAGGCTGTTGGGACTTGTAGTTTTTCATTCACAGAAATCTGTGAATGAATGACGCGGTCAGATGGGCAGAGCCCCACACAGCCACGTCTTTTTTGAATTGTGACAACAGACATTGGGAGAAGATCCCTGGTCTGCTTTCACAGCGGGAACGTGGGGGCGCGAGGGCTGCTGCAGCGCTTACATGTTACACCCTGAATACATGTTAGAAAAGGTGAACTTATCCTTTAAATGCATCTGCCAATAAAGTCTGAATGCTTCTAGAAGTGTTTCAAGCTCATGTCAAATGAATACCATTGACACAGGCCCAATGCTCTTGGGCTGCTTAAAGTGTTACTAAACCCAGGACCCTGCATTGCATTCAATCTATCTGGTCTCCCACAGTACACAGAACATGGAAATGCAATTATTTTAGTAAATATAAGCTGCTAAATACCTTTTCTCATCAGCAGTATATAGCAGTCTTGTGACTCCTATCAGTGTTTAGCAGAGCAATGGTTACAGCTTGTAGGAGGAGTTTTCTTTTGCTCTAGGAGGATGCAGACCTCTGTCTGGACAATGCTGATTGGCCCTGTGCTGATCACATGCACTCTCCCAAGAAAAAAAAAAAAAAACCTCTTTGGCAATACACATTAAACTGAGCATGTGCAAAGTGTCTCCACAGGATATTTCTTATCAGGAGATAAGAGGGAGGCACTGGAACAAGGGGAAGATCAAAGAAGACAGGATCAAACAGCATTTTTACACAATGCAGAGGATTAACCCCTTAGGTTCCACAGTGAGTATATCAAGCATGCTTTACTGCATATACAGACTGATTTTACTGTTGCGGATTTAGCAACACTTTAACACAGCCTAAGCACCCTTACTGATGTGCATTTTCCCTAGGCTAGATCACCAATGGTTATCCAGTGTTATCCACCACAAGTAGGGATGGGGGAAATGCATTCTTTCATAGAAAAATGAAAAGGTCTACTTTCCTTTCCCGTCCTATGGACATTTTCTTCTATGCATGCTTCTAGACACTCTGCTGTATTAATATGATATATAGAAATCCTAAATAGGGGTGCCAACATGAAAAAGCAAAATGCAACATAAAAATGCCGCACACCACACCTCTCCTTACTGCATTTCACTGCAAAAAATGTATTGTTTTTGTAACAATATTGAAAAAAAGAAGAAAAAAAAGTAGTGCAATGTGTTGTAGTAGCAATGTATTAAAGACAATGCCTACACAATGCAGACCAGCATACACGCACATATACTGTAGCATGCAAGCTGGTGTGAGCGAGCTGTATCTCTTGCTTGTATTAAACAGCTGGCAATTCCAGGTGCCTGTGTGATGCTCCTGACATCTTGCAGAACACACCAATGCTCCAGAGAACCAAGTCAATCTGCTTTGCAAAGGTTCTGGCCCACCCCTCTCACATCTCAAATCTGGTTACCAACGTGCCATTTACAAATGATCTTGTCTTTTTCTCTAACTTAAAAAAAAAGGTAACAGATATACTGTGTATGAAAAATGTTGTTCTTGCAGTAACCACATAAAATAGGAAATCAAAAGCTGTTGGGTGGAGTTGACATTTCTTTTTTAATAAATAATGTGCTAAGTAGGCCATATCATTCTACCCTTGTATGTTCAGTTGAGAAATAATAGCTTTTATTCCTAAACAGCTTCATCTGAATTGCTCCAGTGCTTAATTGTATTTCCTGCTCTCCATTTATTTTCTGATGTGATTTGGTACCCAGAAATGAAATGATGCACAGTTTAACACCTCCATGCACATAGCAGACACTTTGTGTGTGCGCTCATCATCTTGGCTCTGTGATGTTTTTCAGACGCTGCCCACTCACAGAATAAATTGGTGAGCTGAGGAAACTGAGGCTTTCATGTACTGTACAGCCAGACGTATTGCTTAAGATGTTTTCCTGTCAAGTGAATATAGTGTAATTGGCAACCTTCTCCCTTATGCATGATCTGCGCTAAAAAATAGATCATTCTAATATCTAATGAAATAAAAATGATATATAAGATAGGTATAGAACAGGTATGACTGCAAATAGGAAGCGCTCAATGGAAAGTAGTGTGAGGCCGTGAAAAATACCCATTTAATCCAGCTATGAAATAGTGGAAATATGTATTAGTCTCCTGTAACATTGGTATTCAGAATAGGAAACAAAAGGGCAGGACTTTAAAGTTGGTATTAAGCCAAAAGCCAAACATTTATTATATTGCAGCTTACTAATCCTTAGATGTGTTGGCTGTAATATTTTTTTTTTTTTCACCTGCTGATCCGGCCAGTAAGTCTGTTGTTTTTCAACAGAACAAGCTGTCCTGCAGATGTAGCAGTAAAAAAGCTGAAATTAGGTCACTTTCACATGGGCGAACACCGTCAGCAGGGATGCCTGCTCAGTATTGGATCTGTCTGCTGATCCCCGCTGAGCAGGCGGATGACAGGTCCGTGTCCACTCTGCAGACAATGGCACAGCCAGCTTTCCTCCATGGGAGCTTGGATGTAAATGGACCAGCTGTCTGTTTCCATCCACCTGTCATCCAATCTGCTAGACCAAACTTTCTAAACAAAGGGCCAGTTTACTGTTCTCCAGACTTTAGGGGGCCAGACTGTGCCCAGCAGAAGTAAACAATGCCCCATCTTTTGATATAGAGGGAGAAATAGTTGGTGTCAGTGGGAGGAATAGTGCCCCACAGGGGCGGACTGACAACTCATGGGGCCCCTGGGCAATAGGGGATCATGGGGTCCCTGTGTCCTCTCCCACACTCAAACCACACCCAAAAAAGCCTATGAAAGGTACCAGAGACATCTCATGGGGCCCCCTACTGACCCCGGGCCCTCGGGCAGTGCCCGAGTTCCCCAATGGTCAGTCTGCCCCTGGTGCCCCATTGTTGGATTCAATAGCAGGAGTAGTACCCCATTATTGTTGTTAGTGGAAGGATATGGTTGGTGAAAGTGGCAAGAATAATGCCTCAAGGGCCAGATATAGGCAAGCAAAGGGCCACATCTGGCCCCTGGGCCATAGTTTGGTGACCACTGTGCTAGACAGATGGTTAACAGATCTCCATCCATCTGTTTTGAGTGGATCTGATCTGAAAACATGCAGGCGGGTGTAAAAGGATAGGCAGTCCCTTTCAATCCACCCCTCTATAGAGGGCAATGGATGGTCCGATCAGGTCCACCTGTAAAGTAGACAGTTTGCTGTTCCCTGCTGAGCAGGCAGATGACAGGTCTGTGTCCGCTCTGCTTACGCAGAGCAGACAAGAACGCAGCCCACTTTCCTCCATGGGAGGTTGGATGTAAATGGACCAGCTGTCTGTTTCTATCTGCCTGTCATCCAATCTGCTAGACCACGGGTTGCCAAACTTTCTAAACAAAGGGCCAGTTTACTGTTTTCCCGACTTTAAGGGGCTGGACTGTGCCCAGTGGGAGTAAACAATGCCCCATCTTTGGTATTATTGGGAGAAATAGTTGGTGTCAGTGGGAGGAATAGTGCCCCATTGTTGGATTCAATGGCAGGAATAGTACCCCATTATTGTTGTTAGTGGAAGGATTAGTGTCCCATGGTTGGTGAAAGTGTCAAGAATAAGGGCCAGATAAAGACAAGCAAAGGGCCACATCTGACCCTCGGGCCACAGTTTGGAGACCACTGTGCTAGATGGATGGTGAACAGATCCCCTTCCATCTATTTTCAGCTGATCTGATCAGATGCAGGCAGGTGTAAAAGAATAGGCAGTCCCTTTCCATCCACCCCTCTATATGGTCCAGTCAGATCTGCCTGTAAAGCAGATAGGCGGACCTGATCAGTGCTCACGTGTGAAAGGGGCCTTACTACTGACAAGGGTGCTTACAATGGTCAGCTTTTATTTACTTATGTAAAATCTTTATCCCAAAAGGAGAAAAAAAAACTGTTTGCTGTAACTGCTTATAAAGTGTGACATGGGGTTTGGCTTCAATTTGTTAATTTAAATCTGGTAATACATCTAATACTCCCCTCCCCCTAGACTGACAATGTTGCTGTCCAAAGGTGCCTCTGTGATCCTTCATCCAGAGTGGGGTACTGGAATACAGCAGGTGTGTTACTGGTCAGATAACCAGGTAAAACAGAGGAAAAAAAGCCTAAAAAAGAAATTAAATGCAGCCACCAAGTCTAAGAATTGGTAAGATGCAATAGATTACATTTTTTTTTGGTTTTGGGTTTATTATCTCTTTAAAGGCCCATTCACACGGGTGGCAAGGGGAGGTGGTAATTGCAGGTGGTTGAGTTGTGGGTTTACCTCCTCCTGACCAGCCATCTGACCACAGCAATGCGGAACGCATAAAGTAGATGGCAAGTTGCACTTGGCAGGTGGTACCACCGCTGAACAAGACCCTTTCAAGTCAGTGGGGCCATGCCACAACCCCCCTTCAATTGTGTGCAATGCACACAGTTGCAACGTGATGGGTCAGCATTTTGAGGGCTAAAACAAGCATTCAGGAGGCAACATATTGCCCACTCACTGCCTGTCAAACATCTCTAAAAAGCGATGCACTGTGGATTCCTTTTCAGAGGAGTGGGAAGAATCGCTACACATATGAATGAGACATAAACCAATCAGGTGTTACCTGTTGCAGAGTACAATGAATCCAACAACTTGATGTTGCTCCCTCACTATACAATCACAATCTTGTATTGTAAAGCTGTATTGCTTTGACTACAGTGGAGAAATAAAAAATTGGTCAGGACCTGGGGTCAGGGGTGTCTAAATTAGAAAAACTGCCTGAATGCATCTGCACATTTCTTGGCAGGTGAAACTGACCATGCACCAGCAAAATTACATTTTCTCAAGGTTGGTGGGACTAATTATCATTTTCAACCATAGTGATGAGAAAATTAGATGGAACAGGATGGAAAATTTTTCTCAAAAATCTAGCTTTCATTAGGGAAATATCATACATATTGTAATAAACCTGTTTAATATGTCCTGGATCCACTGAAATAGCAGCTCTTGAAAATGTTTTAAGGACTTTTAAATTAAATTATTTGTTTCAATGAGGGCAACAAAGAATGTCCTGACAAATGATTTTTCAGAGTTTCTGTAAAAATATTCCAACAAAAATCTAATTGTGTATGGCCAGCTTAAGACAGTTCACATCTATGTAACTTAGCTCATTTCTTAGGCTTAAACATACACTGGTCATAAAGTAGCACTACTCCTGAAGGAGCCGCTGATAGATTTGGGTCCTCTGCTCTTTACCTGGCCCTAGATAGAGCCTCACTCCTGCTGACACCACCCCAATACCTTTTTCCAGCCTTTTTCCTGCCTTCCAGCAGTCACACAAGAAGGGTATACACCAGCTGTTTTGAAATAAACAGGTTGTACTGGTAGAACTAAAATGGTCAGGCAATACAGCAGTTCAGAGATTAAAAGTTGCACACAATGAAACATAATATTGATAATACAGTGCAGTTAGCTCAGGTACCCTTTTAAAGTGAAGCTTATTATGTCCTGCAGGAATGAGAGCGTAAACCCTTTGACTGGGAGATCACATCCCAAATGAGTTCAAAAGTCTAACAAAAGAACAATAGGCTAGGTTACTTGAAAGCTCTCAGGCGGCAAAGTCTAGGCTTAGGCTTGAAAGTCTGCTAAATCCCCTGCACACAAGTGCTGCTACCAGACAGACCCTTACTGTCTAAATAACCCCGCTGATGTGGACTTCAGCCGGCTTAGTTGAGGCCCCTTATGTTGGCACGCAAAGTAGTATGGTGTTCCTTTAGGTAGTGAATTCAATGGAGACAGTTCACTTTAACAGATGAAGCTATTGGGGTAAGTCACATTAAGAGGTGAAGTTATTGGGACAGTTCACTTTAAGAGGCAAAGCTATTGGGACAGTTCACTTTAAGAGACAGAGTCAATAGGGAAGTTCCATAAAGTGAAGTTGAAATTAGCAGGAGTGCCCATTTAAGTTGCCTAGGCCAAAGTAAATGCAGTTAAAGAGAGGGATATTCTAAGCAGGGGCAAAATAGTGATACAGTTCAGCAATGTGGGAGCAGTAGCTGCAGTAGTGAAGAAATTCTCTGATTAACGTCAATGAAAAAAGGTGTTCAGAAGGTAGGCCTGAATAGTAACAAATGCTTAAAAAGTATGAGTTGTCATGCGGTGAGGGCCTAACTGAAGTTGCAGCTGTGGTGGTTGGGATGCACTCTGCAACTGAAAGGTCTCTTCAGGACGGTCCTCTCACTGAGTTCCACTCAGCAGTCTCTTCCATGGTTCCCCAGAAATCATGTACAACTTAGCTTAACCCAGCCTGACCTGAAACAGCATGGTTTGGCAAAGTCACACAGGTCATCTCCCCAACTCCCCCTTCCAGGGCTTTTTTCTTTTAGTGTCCTTCCCCTTTGCTGTATCTTATGGGCTTTGTAATTGACTTCATCTTTACTGTGTGGGAAGTCTGTTTCGCTTGGCGGCTATTTAAGGTTGCTTTGCGTTGTAAGCATGGAAGTTTGGACCTCTGTGGTATCATACATACTGTAGGCCATATATATCAAAAGGTCAAGCTGTGTTTGACCATGGTTACAGAACAACAGACTGACCCAACTGTCAACTGAAATACAACAATGGTATCTATGGTTGTCCAGTTCTGGGAGGGCATCATATGACGTCTTCCCAGAACGCGCCCTCCCGCATACCCCCAGGGGCATGCCCATGGAGATCTCCATGATCGCTATGTCTTACGGACACAGCTGATCACGTGATGTGGTAAAAGGCCAATCACAACGGATTTTTACCATGTGATATGTAAATGCAGTTGCCCGTTATCTGCTGCACTTTCCTCATGCTGTCACAGCATGAAGTACTGCCGATAACCGGCAATTGTCAGAGGATGGATCGGCACCGATCATCAGGGCACTGATGATCAGTGCCCAGCAGTGCTGCCCACCTGTGTCCAGCAGTGCCTCCCACAAGTGCCCAGCAGTGCCTCCCACCTGAGCCCAGCAGTGCCATCCATCTGTGCCCAGCAGTGCCTAGAAGTGCCACCCACCTGTGCCCAACAGTACCCCCCATCAGTGCTGACCAGCAGTGCCACCCATCACTGCCCAGCAGTGCCACCAGTCAGTGCTATCAGTCAGTGCCACCCATCAGTGCTGCCCATCAGTGCCCATCGTTGTTGCATATCAGTGCTGCCTTATCAGTGACAGCTCATCAGTACCGCCTGTCAGTGCTGCCTATCAGTGCCACCTCATCAGTGTCCATCAGTACCGCCTATCAGTGCCCATCAGTGCTACCTATCAGTGCAGCCTCATCAATGCACATCAGTGAAGGAGAAAAATTACCTGTTTGCAAAATGTTATAAGAGATACAAAGAAAAACTTTTTTTTTCTTTTTTTTTTGCACTTTTTTGTTTATAGCGCAAAAAATAAAACACCCAGCAGTGATTAAATACCACCAAAAGAAAGCTCTATTTGTGTGATAAAAAATTATACAAATGTTATATGGGTACAGTGTTGCATGACCGCGCAATTGTCATTCAAAATGCAACAGCGCTGAAAGCTGAAAATTGGCCTGGGCAGGAAGGGGGTATAAGTGCCCAGTAGGCAAGTGGTTAAACGCAGCACAAAGTCCTGCTGCCAACCTGCAATTCCCAGCATGCTCTGAATCCTTGTATTAGGGCTTTGCTGTGTGCTGCCATCTTGTGGATAAATAGAGTTCTGCATTCCCAGTAACAATGCATAGTGTTACATAAACATGTAGGCTGCCACTGTGGCCTCCTTTTGAATATGCTGTATGTGTTTTCAGCATTTCTGGTCAAGCATGCAGCAAATAAAAGTCATCAAAATTCAGAATCTCTTGATTTCAGTAGTTGTTTTAGGCCAGTGACTCAGAAAGCATTGAAGGATCATCACTATAGTCAGGAAGCTTGCATTTTAGTAGTAGTACATTGGAGTACATTAATTGTTTGCAGCTTTAGCCATGGGTTACTTTGTGTTGCATTTGTTTGCATTAACTGTTATA